TAAGAAACAAGATGTGTTTCAGAGGCAAAGCCAGGAACGTGAACAAAGTTATTATGTAGAATTGTGGGTAACACTTTATTTGGACAGTTTGTCTACAGATAGTTTATAGAGTATTTGTAACATTTCAACAGCTTATTAGTTAAAATTCAACAATTCATCTGTTTTGCTTATCTAAAGAATAAATGTGACAATTTACTACATACTGTCAGAGTAATTTAGTTGAACTTGAACTATTCAATCAACCCATGCTGCACAGGTTGAGTGAAAACAAAGTTATTCTGACAGTATGTGGGTATGTCCATGAATTGTCACATATATGTCACAGATGTCACACAATACAGGGTCACATGTAAACTATGAAGGAGTGTCTATACTGATTATATTCCAGTGCTTGTGAATGTTTCAGTCTGTTTTATGAAGTGGAGAATGTAACGTTTTTTAAAATATTTTTTTCTTTCTTCAGTTGGCTCCCTGTGGCCTCTGAGCAACGTGCGCCCTGTTGCTGAGAGCCCCCCCCCGATGACCCAGTCCCTGTCGGGGTGGATGTCGTGGACAGGCTTCAGGAGGCTGAGCCTCAGAGAGGTAACGTAGAGGGTGAGCAGCACCGGGGGTTTTTTAGAGTATCTCCTCGTTCTTTGCACGGTGGATTGGTCGACTTTTCTTACATCCTGAGGGCCGGCCTTTGCGTCTTGCAAGGCCGGTGATGCCCCAGGTAGCCCTCGCGTCTGGCAGGGCTGTCGACAACACTGTGCATAGTAGCCTTTGCGTCTGGCAGGGCTGAGGAAGACAAAGCTGCCTCTGCGTCTGGCAGGGCGGTCAACACCCCAGGTAGCGTCTTGCACCGGGGCTTTTTTAGAGTATCTCTTTGTTCTTTGCACAGTAGATCGGTCGACTTTTCTTTCACCGGCCTTTGTGTGTGGCAAGGCCAGTGAGGTGAGGGCTGTCAACAACACTGTGCATAGTAGCCTTTGCGTCTGGCAGGGCTGAGGAAGACTAGGTAGCCTTTGCATCTGGCAGGGCTGAGGAAGACAACGCTGCCTCTGCGTCTGGCAGGGCGGTCAACACCCCAGGTAGCATCTTGCACTGGGAATATTTGGAGAATCTCCTCATTTATTGCATGGTAGATTGATCAACGTTTCTTCCATCCTGAGGGCGGGCCTTTGCATCTGGTGAGGTCGGCGATGCCCCAGAAAGCTCTCGCATCTGGCAGCCTTTGAGTCTGGCAGGGCTAAGAACCTTCAGCTTTGTCAGCATTCTAATGAAAACTACACTCCTTCTCACAGCAGCAGTGGGTCATACTGATCAGTCTCCACCTAAAGAAACCCCAAAACATCCAACGTTGGCAAAGCAGCCCCCCCAAAAAGTAGTTTGGTTAAAGTCTGCCCAACATTAAGCACTCACAATTTGCTTCCTAAACGTCCTTCTCCAGAGGCCAAACAACAGCTTCAGTCACCCACACATCACACCCCCAGTGAAGCTGCAGTCCCATCCAGATCAACACTGAAGATGTCACTGAAGACCACTGCACTGACAAGATGGAAAAAAATCCTGCAAAATCAAAGAGAAAAAAAGGCACTTCACTCTTAGATCACCACGACTTACAATGCATCAGACGCCTAAAAAAAAAACCAGAACATCGGAAAGCAAACCTCATGGAAACACCAAAGTCCCCCAAAACAGTTTAGTTAAAGACTGACTAAAATTAAACATTCCTAACATTATACTTCCTAAGCATCTTCTCCCAGGAACCAAAATTGCCTTAATATGGCCACAAAAGGTAAAGTATAAAATACATTACATTCATAATATTCAGTCATTCAAAGACTTATTGTCTCACTAACCTTTTTTTCGTCTTCATAAAGTCTGATCTCCCTCCACCACCTGAGCACATAGATAGCAGTGAATTTTATTGTGAACCTGTTTATCAGTTGATTACTTATTCATCAAAGATTGTTTTTCTGTCCTACTAACCACTTTTTTTATATTCTCTCTTATTCCACCAAAAAAAAGTGAGTATGAGCTTTTGACTTATTTTGTAAAGCTGGTTTTCCATGTTAACATAATTTATTTAATAAAAAAAAAATTGAATTTGTCTCACAAACCATTTCCAACCACCATTTCTCTTTCTCCACCACCTGAGCTGCTGCTGTTCACTGTGGACTAAAAGGTGAGTTTGAGCTTCTGACTTATAGTAACATAAATAAAGTGATGTATGTTATTGTGTAAACTGGCCACATATGAAGCTGTTTATCTTTATATTATCACTTATTTTATGTCTTACTGTCAGTCTGCAGGACTATGCGCAGCTCGAACGTTCACACAGGAAGCAGCAAAGAAGGAAGACCCAGACTCAGTGTTCCTGCAGCACATCCACAGTTACCTCGACATGACTGCTGGAGATAAGTGGTTGTCTGTGTTTCAGTCCACTAAGTAAATATCTTAATATTACACAAATAGCAATACATCCACATATGCTGATGATATTTCTTATAGCTAATTTGTTGACATATATTGTATTATATTCAGTGTGACAGATGAAGCCTGTGAATGTTTACTACACTAAAATAACCTGTGACAGATTAATAATGTGACATTAGAGATGATTCAGTCTGCAGGCCCACACTTAACAGTCCATTAGTACAACAGGATGTTAAATAACCTTGATGCTGACAGCAGACATTGTATTATATTTCCTTCATATATAACACAAAGTTGTGTTTCTTGTTTCAGGGCAGGACTCCTCTTGTGTCCAGGGGCTCCTGAGAGTGGATGTGAACCAAACCACACAAAGCTGTCCACTGAGCACTCTGTCACACTCATTTCTAAACTTCACTGGTTTACTGTTGAATTGAATAAAATCAACTCTCAGACATATAAAGTGACACTATGTATTGTGAGTTTTATTTTAACTTCAGTGATGTTGAGTTCATGTGAAGCTTTTTAAATAGTGAATCAGTTGCAGGTGTCATTAAATGTATTAGTGGCTAAAATGCTGCTAAAACAGCTTCACCACCAGGAGTCTCTTTAAACAAGCAGCTACACTGAGTCATCTGGATTACTTTGTCATTTTAAAGCATTGTCACATTCAAAAGTTCTGAGAAACTGTCAAAGATCAGGAAGAAGGAAGATGAACATATGGGACAAGTAAACATTCAGAAAGGGGAGCAGAAGCAAATGGAGGCATTCAGCCACTGCAGAAAATCACACACCCACACACACACACACACCTTTATAACAACACAACTCTGCTGCCATGTTTATAATATAAATCACAGTTGACAGTTTTGAGTAATGCAAGTATCTATAGCATTACTTTGAGTGTGTGAGACAAACATAAATGTTGCTTCCTCCACATGAGACTAAAAGTCTGTATCCATGCTGTGAGGATGTAGTGATCATTCCACACAAAAATACCAGAAGGATGAAAAGAAGAGGAAAAAAATCCGACATGGGTTTATTAAACCTGAGGGTGGCATCAGAGGTACGGTTGCCGCATGGTTTATCCCCTGTAGGTGGCAATTCAGCTCCTGCTTAACTCCTAACAGGATGCTCCCAACATTCACCAGTCTAGTCCAGTCTCAGTTTGCCACAGTTTCAAATAATATTTAACATTTGTGCAACAGTGCTTCCTCCTGCAGTTCTGAGTGTGTGGGCCCTAAGCAGTCTTAAACTGACAAAGAACAACACACCAGGTTATAGAAATGGCAGGAAGTAATTGCACCTTCCTACACACACTTATCTGTTCCAAAAAGCTCTGGAGCCTTTGCATTTTTACAACTATACTCATGTCTGCACTACCTCAACAAATTCCACGCATCAGTGGTCTGCACATGTAATAGAGGATGCACTTCTTCCCCCAGCTGCTGATCCAGCTTTACATTGCAACAATCCAGTCTGTTCTCTTCAAGTCCACCACTGTATGGTTTGGATCAGCCACCAAACAGGACAGGAACAGACTACAACGGATATTCAAAAACAAAAACACAAACTTAACTTAACAAACTTAAGGTTGTTTTTTTCTTTTTAAATAAATTTAAACATTAATTGACCACCACATTTTTTGCTAAAAGTCTATAGACTGAGTATTAAACCTGCTTTTCTGTGGGGCATTAATATCTTAGCCTATTAGGCATCAATACAACTATAACTTTTAAATACTTCATAATTCAATTTTCAGTTCAAATGTATTTTTTTTAAAACGTTATGGGTTTTGTGTGTAGCTAATTAAATAAAGACTAATACTCATCAATAATTATACTGTGTTTTGTGATATACTTTAATGTTAATTAATGTTGGATTAACGTGAAATTTCTTGAAAAGTGTAAAATGTAGGCTGTTCATTTGCATTTGCGCATTGTTACATTTTTGACACAGCTGATATAATCAGCACACTATATTAGAAGGGTGTTTTTGTCTTTATAAACTTTGATAAAGTATCATGATAAATCAAATGTAATAAGACGACCTAAAGACAACAATGCACACAGTTTGGGACGGTATTATCTAATGTTATGGTACATGATAAAAGGAAAAATACACCAGCAGCAATGGAAACAATAAGCAGAGGCAGATCAAAAATTGCATCTGTTCTGTTTGAAATACATTTTCTACTGTAAGCCACATCCGTATTAGCTGAGGTGACTGTTAAAAGCTCAGAGCAGAATATTAACTACCCTACTATCAAGTATTTTATCAGTCAATGAGTCAATGTATCAATCAATTTATTTGTCTCATGAAATCATAAGAATATTGTTTAAGTGAAATGCAACCCGTTCGCTCCATCAATTTGTGCATCAATTCCGTTGGTGCGACTAACGGAAGGTTACGCTAACAATAGCTAGCATGCTAACTGATAGCTAACAGACACTTTATTAGGCATTTATTTTGTGTGTACTTCGCATCATGTCTAAAACCTTAGTAAATGTGAAGACGTTCCTCCTTTCCCAGCAAAAGCACACTATCCGAGGGTAAACCCGACACCGGAACGAAAAAGAGGGAGGGTAATATTGGATGCACACTCTTGTTGACGCGATCCTCTTGCGCATGCGTACACACATCAAAACATCGCGTGAAGAGGGGTGACCGCGCCTGGGGATAATTTAATAAAACAATGCCTTATCGGGTGAGAAATGTCTTTATTTTTTCGAAACCCGTGCTTTATGTGTTTCTTTGTACAAATTAGTTCCCCACGTTTCGTTTGTGCGACTAACGGGAGGTATAGAATAACAATAGCTAGCATGCTAACTGATAGCTAACATGCTGTTTACTGGGCATTTAATATTAGAACCTGCTGCATTTAGATTACATCATCAGCCAAAGTTAGGTAACGTTATTGTAAACTGTAGGAAAATACTGGTTTGTGTCTTTAATTTGTTCCCTTGGTTTCAGGCGTGCGGTGTCTTCAGTTTAATCTCAGTGTGACAGCTCGGTGAGTGATCAGAGGATGGACAACGTTACCGTGTCAGCCTCAGGTGGGACAGCAGAGGATATGGAGGGGATCTGTGTAATGCCGGATTTGAGTGCCATCAAGACTGAGCAGTCGATGGGTGCAAGCCCAGATGACACAGGCACCCAGAATGTTGCCATGGGCATCAAGTTCATCCTCCCCAACCGCTTTGACATGAATGTTTGCTCAAGGTTTGTCAAATCGCTAAACGAGGAGGACAGCAAGAACATCCAGGACCAGGTCAACTCTGATCTGGAGGTGGCTTCTGTTTTATTTAAAGGTAAGAGCCCCGTTCATGTGTCTCTAAAGTGAACTTATAGTGTTTACATCTTGTCACAATGTCCAATATAAGAGGCTGTAACTTACATGAGCTCACTTATCTGATCATATTTTCCTTCTCTTTCAGCTGAGTGCAACATCCAGACCTCACCTTCCCCAGGTATACAAGTGCGCCATGTTTACACGCCCTCCACCACCAAACATTTCTCCCCCATCAAACAGTCCACAACCCTCACCAATAAACACCGTGGCAACGAGGTTTCTTCCACACCTCTTTTGGTGCATTGTAAGTATCACAGTTTTTTTTTTAACTCCATTTATTTTAACGTTTCTATCAGAAATCAAATCAAAATGTTAATCTGGACATGCCTGTTTTTCCTCTCAGCTTTGTCCATTCATCAGCTTGCAGCCCAGGGTGAAATGGTGTTCCTGGCCAGCAGGATTGAACAAGGTAGGCAGCATATCTGGGTTGGCTGGTTGTGTTTTTTTAACACACACATACAATATTTTGAAGACAGTAATAATAACCAAATAAACAACTGTGAGTCTCCATCTTTGTGCTCCTGCAAAGCATAAGCAGGTATGGTGATAAACTATGTGTATTGATGGTGTTATTTGTCTTTTTATATCATTTTAATAGAGACTGTAATCAACCTCCAAGATGAGGAAGGCTTTACCCCCCTGATGTGGGCGGCTGCACACGGACAAATTGCTGTTGTTGAGTTTCTCCTCCAAAATGTATGGAAAACTGAACTTGAAGTATCATTCAGATCTTGTGGGTTTTTTATATCAGAGCATCCCGTCTCTGTTTATTTACTGGTCTGTATCATTCTTTGCTGTAGGGTGCTGACCCCAACCTCCTGGCCAAAGGGAGGGAAAGTGCATTGTCTTTGGCCTGCAGCAAGGGATACACTGATATTGTGAAGATGCTTATTGACTGTGGTGTAGATGTCAATGAATATGACTGGGTAAGAATGCAAAGCTTTTATCAAATCTTCACTAGAACTGGTTTTGTAGAAACTGATGTATGAATATAAGTGAGATCCTTTTCTCACTTTGTGCTGGGTATTCTAAGGGACAGTTCACCCCCAAATCAAAAATATATATTTTTCCTCTTACCTGTAGTCCTGTTTATCAGTCCAGATTGTCTTGTTGTGAGTTGTCGATATCAGCCGTAGAGATGTCTGCCTTCTCTCCAGTATAATGGAACTAGATGGCACTCAGCTTGTGGTGCTCAAAGCGCCAAAAAATACTTTAGAAAAACTCAGCAGCAATGTCTTTCTTTCCAGAAATCATGACACGGTTACTCAAGATAATCCACAGACCTTGTAATGAACATGTGTGTCAGTTTCATGTCATCCAGCAAACGTATCACTGCACAGAAGGAAGCATTCATCTGCTCATGGATGAGAGGCTTGTGCTTGTGACAGCATGTGATGTAAACATCAATGGCATCCTCCCCAGCTGAGATGTAACACTCCTTAGCTCAGCAATGCTAGGTAAGCTGGCTGAAGACGCATGCCTCCTTCTGCATGGTGATATGGCTGGTGAGTGTAGTTCAGTAGAAAGAAAATAGTCCCTACATGAAACTACTCACATCAAGGTCTGTGGATTCTCTTCAGTAATCAGGTCATTATGTCTGCAAAGAGACATCGCTTTCAGCGTCACAAGCCGAGTGCCACCTTGTTCCATTTTATTAGAAGGCAGACATCTCTACAGCCGACACTCTGCAGCTCACATCAAAACAAATAGTAAATAGCATTACAGGTAAGAGGAAAATTATGCGTTTTTGACTTTGGGGGTGAACTGTCTTTAATGTTGGTCTTACTATCAAATATAATTCTATGTGGCGTGTTTGTTGGGTTTCAGAATGGAGGAGCCCCTCTGCTATATGCTGTCCATGGGAACCATGTGCGCTGTGTTGAAATTTTGTTAGGTGAGGACACATCTTTTACTGAAAGTAGCACCTGTGGTCAGACATCCATCTGTGTTCATAGTTCTTAAAGGATAAGCATAGAAATTCTTGTGTTCAGGAAATGTTAAGTGTCTAAGATATATCTGTACAATAACAAAGTTTTTGTATGTTTGTATGTCCTCTAGAGAGTGGTGCTGATCCCACTATTGAGTCAGATTCTGGATTCAATGCAATGGACATGGCTGTGGCTATGGGCCACCGGAATGGTATGTGTAAATTAAACACACAGAGTAAACCTACATTTAATGCTTAAAAAACATGTAGGTACACACAGGCTGAGAACTGATGTTTGTCTTATGTGGACAATAGTATTTTCTCACAACTAACACAACCAGTTTTTTTTTAAACAAATGCCTCCATATTGATATTGTGACGATATTGTTGGGTTAACTATTGATGCTTTTACACAAATATTTACACAATGCGATTTTTGATGGTAAACATTTCTATTTTCTGGATATAAAGGCTAAAAGTAAGTAAAGGCAAATAAAAGAACAGCTAGAACAGTCTGATAAGTTCAGAAAATTACCTTCCGTAATACAGCCTTTAAAACCAGGAAAAGACAACACTTACAATATTATGATATCCAAAATCTAAGATGGCATCTAGTCTCATATCATGATTTTGATATAATATCAATATGTCTCCCATAATTTCTGACATTGTTTAAATAAATTGTACAATTTAAAAAAAAAAAAATTAAAAATCACTAAAATATTTCTCGTTTCCTACTCATTACTTTCACAATCCTGTCAAAGATTACCCTTCATCCTCCTCATGAACCCCAAAGTGAGAAGCACTGATTAAAAGGAGGCAAATTGGATTTCCTCCATATGTACAAATATTTAGGGTTCACACAGTCATGGAAAACCTGGAAACGTCATGGAATTTCACAATTACATTTTCCAGGCCTGAGAAAATCATGAAAGTTTTGGAAAACTCATGGAAATTTTGTAGTGTGTGTAATAAAATGATTACAGTAATCTTTCATGGAGAACCTTCCACGTAATGTAACATAATGGCACAATTATTTTCTGTGGCTGTCAACATGTTGTAGCTCCAATGTGTCAATTTGTGACATATTGTTTACCATCACGTACGTTTCTCCATTTTCCTGCCATGCTCTGTCTCTCCCTTCATGTTTGCCAGCTACCTGAAATTGTGTTTGAATAGTCTGAATCTGATATGTTTAAAAAACAACGGCAAGCAGGACAAGACATAAATGTTACTTTAGTGTCCTTGAAAAGTCATTGAAATGTTTTGAAATTTTGTCCATGAGAATGTGTCTGCTGATTGTACTTTGATCTGAACAGGAAACAAGTTGTTGACAATGTGGCTGCTTCCAAGAATGTAAAAGCCTTTTCAGAAAAACAATCACTTTTCCTGCCAAATCCTGTCTCCTATCTAGGAGTGACAGGTGGCCATCTCCTAAAGTTTGATTAGTGTTAACTTTGAAATGACACACAGCTCTGTTCAGTAAAATACTGTTTGTTCCTCTGCTCAGTTCAACAGGTGATGGAGGCACATCTACTGAAGTTACTGATGGGAATCAGAGACTGAACTGTGACACTTGAGGAAAACAAATACGGAAGGGACGAAGCTGGGCTCTGGACAATCATGTAGCACGCCCAGGCTGCCTGCCAACAGTAATATATTAGTTCATTAAGTGACATTTCAACATCATGTCAACAGCGTCTTGTTGGCACGATGCATGTGACGTTTATATGCTACGAATTTACAATTTTAACCATCTTTCAAAAACTGTTTTACATTACGTTTCATATTGAATGCGGAGTTGCAAATCTGATCCGGAGACACTGAAAGATTTTCACGCTGCCAAATGGAGTGCAGTGTAAGATTGATTTTGGTTTAACCGAGCATGGAGGTTTTGAGTCTTTTAATATTGTATATTACATTACATGCCATCAGTGGCCATTCCATACTTTTCCCCATCATGGCAAGTGTTTTTTAAATATAACTTATTAACCTTGATGAAAAAACAGATTTTAAAAGTAAAGGAATATTCGTGTAATACAAATTGCCTCATGTTCATACTGTCAGGTCTTCACAGTGAGCACATTTCTGAGTCTCATTTTGCTCTCATGAGGACCACTGCACAGTGGGTGGACTGAAAATAGGCTCGTATAGACTGGAATGCACACGGTTACAGACTGTGTTTTTATAACGCTGCCATATTGTTTGTTGATCCTGAAGATCTTTGTGTTGGTTGTTCCGAGTTTATTTATTTGAATACTTTAGACGTTGTGTTGTAATGTGATAAAACTCTCATATTGATGTAAGTCTGTTTTGTTTCTGTGTATTTATGATACTGATGTTCACTGATGTGTTGTGAATTTTAAAAGACCTCACACCTCATTTTAATGTCCCGCGAGGTTACTGTGGTGCTGTTTGCCACTGTGTAAGGGTGCTTGTGTTTTATATCAGACATAAGTGGTGTTTCAAGAAATAACTTGTCCTGACCTCAGTATCACTCATTATGCTGTACAGATATTTATCTGATCACAAGTCAAAAAGGTAAAACCACTGTTTATAGTTGCAGAAATTAAGCTGTTATTTAATTAAAAGATCTTTTTAAACTGCAAACAGAGTCACAGTCATGGGGAGAGTACACTTTAGTTGCTGTTGAGTGCTGCACATAGAAGCAGGGGAGGGGTCTGTCAGTGAATGTAAAACTAAAGGACTATTAATTATAAGCCAAGAATCTAATAACATGCTACTAGCGCTAGACATGTTTATTTCACAGTTGTGTGCTAATATATTTTGTCTGCCTATTCACGATTATGTCACGTCTTCTTTATGTGTATCAACATCAATATACTGTACTGGAAAATACTTTTACAGGTTAGCTCTGTACATTATAGGGATAGCTCAGATCTTTTGAAGTGGGGCTGTATGAGGTACTTATCCATAGTCAGTGTATTATATCCAGTATATGTTAAGTCTGCATGCCCCCAGTTTGGAGGAGCAGGCAGGAGTACCACCATGAAAGGTAAGTGATGTACTGTTGTGGATGGGGGGCAGCAGCAAAACATATTTTAGCCACTTAAAAAAAAAAGAATCTAACAGTTTAAAGCAGGGGTCTTCAATGGTTTTCAGGCCGAGGACCACTTAGCAGGGACTCGCTGCTACATACATTGTATTAAACTGTGGGCTCACTGGTTAACCACGCTGTTACAGACAGGTGCTGCACAGTGATTTAACGCTAGCTAGCTCACATGACTGCACAAGGATTCATGGGTAACAGGTAGCTTATCATCAATGTTGTGTACTGTAAATTAAATGCATTTATTTTTTATGATTAGGTCAGTTTAGCTTAGCTTATAGTATGTTGGATTCATGTTAATGTGTATATTCAGACAGTTTAATTAAAAGAAAATAACTCTTAAAATTAAACAATACTTTGGTGGTGCCTCTGCAGTAAGTGAAGGCCCCCTAAGGGTTGCGGATCCCATCCCTGTTGATAACCCAGGATTTTAAGTGTATGCTATTTTTAGAGTATTATCACTGACTTTACCTTGCTGTCAGACAGTGATTTCCTACAGGGAACTGAAGCAGTCACATCGCTCTCCTCAAAGCCAGACTCCATTGAGAAAAACATTAATTTAACGTAGCTGTGCACAGAAGCTGCTGGTCTACGGCTGCCTCCATCAGTTAGTTTGTTTTTGTTATTGTGTGACTTTGGCATTATTCTGGATTCACCAAAGTCACACAGTAACACTAACTGATGGAAACAGCTGTAGACCAGCAGCTCTCATATTCAGTGAGCTAGTTCTATAAACTGGGGGTCATGCCAACTGACATCTTCTGTATACAATACACTGACTATGGATAAGTACCTCATACAACCCCACTTCAAAAGATCAAAACTATTACTATAAGCAAAATCCGTGATTCCAAATATATATATATAATTTTTAATTTCACATCTACTTATTTTTTTTGGTGAGGTGCTCCTTTAACAATAATGCTGACCAATTTACATATGGCATAATAGTATTTCAGCTCTGGAAATCATACTTGAGGGATTAAAAAAAACCAAACATCGGCTATTTATTGACAGTAGCAAAGGTTTATTCCAGATATGGTGGTTTGAGAGAGGCCACAAAGAATTAAGGTTCAGTAACATGGAGGAAAAAGATGTACACTACAGCAGGAGCATTAAACATCACATTTTACACACAGTCTCTCACTCTAACTGGACATACAGAGCACAACAAGCATTTGGAGAGTCTGGTAGAGAAGAAGTGGAATGAGTACTAAAATACCTTACGCTTAAATACTGCTACCCCCCTTGGTATTTAATACTTTAGAGTACTATTCTAGAAAATTACTCCAAAATAATTCACTTAAATGTATTCAAGCACTTTGTTCAGGTGTTGCACATTTTACAGAATGCTCACAGCCAGAAGTTGACAGATTATCCATCTTCTCAGGTACTTTAACTATCAGCTTTCCACCCCTTGAAATAGACAGAAAAACATCTTGTGCCTCACATGGTCCTGTCAAGTATTGACACTTAAGGGAGTCCCATTTCCTCTAGTTAGCCTCATCCTTGGATGCTTCATCAAAGTTCTCCACCAGATCTGAAACAACAAAAGATTTGATGGTAAATTGATGGGAGTCGGGGAGAATGGCATGTCCATCTGCACAAATGACTCTCAGAGGTGCCGCAGCACAATTCAGGAAAAGCATGTTTATCTGAAACGTGATATGAGGTGGAACTCAATCCAAATTATTTGCTCATCTTTCCCCACTACTGCATAGACTGCAATGTGCTCAACATATGAGGCCCTCACAACTACTGAAAGCAGCTGTAAAAATTATGGCGTAAAAGCATCAAAAGGTTGGCTTCAATTACTCCATGAAATGTGAGAAATCTGCTTTTCAGAGGTTTGGCTCAAAGGGTCGCGGGTTAAAATGGAAACAATTCAAAAGGTCTAAGTAAACATGTTCCTTCAGTGAGAGAACAAAAAAGAAACTTAACTCCAATAACAGCGTGATGGCGATGGCTGTTAACCCCTGCGCCATCAGGCTCTGACTGCTCCCATTGCTGAGTACATGTGTAATCGTTTGTTACATTAGTGAGAACTAGAGCTACAGGGAGAGAAGTCCTGGGAAAAGCTGAGATTATTGTAATGGCAACCTCATGTGTTTGGCCTATTTTCCTCACAAAGAAAAGCAAACTGGATCTTAAGATCGTCTAAACAATGAACACGAGATTCAAACATTGCACCATCATTCTAAAGTCATTGATGAATCCCCTTCATACGACCCCTTTCACAAGCCAAAGGAAAACAAACCTGCCATGGTTATTTAACTGAGAGAAAGAGAAGAAAAAACCTTGCCCCATAATGGACAAGTGTGAAGGAGTATTTCCAAATAAGACTGCAAAGGAGTTTGACGCAGGACGAAATTTTATGTGAGGCATTTTTGAAGAAATGTTTCATCTTGAATGTTTGTACAGACTGCTATACATGGACAGATGAGTGTAATGCAAAATCAGACATTTAAAAATATAATGTGTAATCTTTCCGCATTAAAATGTCTAAAAATGACTAGGCCAACGTTATGTAATTTGTTGAGCTGTGTAATTACATTATCCTCAATATTTACAACAACGTTCAAACCCAGAGGGATCTGTAACTTTGATCAAAGACGCCTTTGGTGTCGTTTGGTCGCCGACACCACTCAGTGGAATCTGCTTTGCACATGTATCAGGGTTGTGGTTGTCTGCCAGACACTGTCACAAATTGACTTTTGCAATACTTTTTTTGATCTTGGTAGTTTTTAACTATATGTTTTAACCAGAGGAAGGACTTGTATCATCAGATGTTTGGATCTTAAGATATAAGATAAACAAGTTAGTGGCAACTGTGCCAACGAACGCTGAAGGAATCCTGACTGAGAGAAACTGACTCTGTGACGGCACTGCTTCGTCTTTTGTCATTGTTTTGAGTGAAGGGCCCCTAGTGGCATAAAATTACATACTGTACGTTTAAGCACTCACCTGGAACATCATCATCTTCTTCTTCTACTGTTGCAATCGGCACTTTTCCATCTGCAGCTGCAAGAAAAGTAAAGATATGTGAGAAGCTTGAAGAGCAGCTTAAAGGGTCAAGTTGCCACAAAACAATCAATGTTAAATTCTGAGGCCGCACGACATCTCTTTTAAAAGTTTGACTAAACAGAAAATACTAGGGGTGTAACGATACACGCTTTGGTTCATACCCCGGTTTAAAAGACACAGTTTGACAAATAACAGATGCACGAGGGGACTGCTGGGGCATTTTACTCACTGGCAACTTTGGTAAACTACTTACATTATAAAAATAATGACAATTTCAATTTTGTACACTGAACAATGAACACTTTCCCCACAGGCAACAGGTCACAACAGGGTATAAAGGAAAAGCATCTCTTGTGCTATGAAACTGAAAATACCAAAATATATAGAGCAGAATACATCATAAAACTTGTGCATTAGGAGAAGTGTTGCAGTTAGTTCTACCTCGGCTACATTTGAATATTCAAAGCACCTAAACATTTATCATCCCAATTATCGGCACATCTGAGTGATGCCATCGAATGTGCTTTAGCATGTAGGGTGTGTCTCTATTCACAGACACTACAGTGGTAGATCAATGCACACACACGGCCCTCATCTTATACAAAACTCTTCCTCCGCTGCTGTTGTAGCCAACTGAGAACCTGCAGGAGAGTCTTCCAGCTCCACCGTTTCACTAGCAGCAAAGTGTGACTGACTCACACACCTATCAGCTCACAGCAGATAGTTCCTGCATGTTCCTGTTGTCAAAATCCCTGTCACTACGCCAAACCAGTCTTCAAACTTCTGTTTTCACACAACAACCTCCGAGATAGCAACCTACATGGTAAAATGTCTTTTGATGTTTTATGAGGCATTTTCCTTTGTGGAGATTTAGCCATTTCGATGCCAGCACTTGCCTCTCCAAAAAAACAAGTTCCATATCAGCACTATTTTGCAAGGACACCGTCTTACATCCTGGACGACCAACAGAAGAACTAGCGGTTCGTTTTTGCACTACTTTTTACAAATAAATCACTTAGACAAAAAAAGAAATATTGATAAATTCATTTAGAAGGCATGAACGTGGAGTATACATGTTACAGCGTGAGCTGGAGGTGAGTAAATTCTGCGTTGAATCCCATATGACAATGCATTATAATCCTCTGAGCCCTGCGGGACTGCCGGTGATCCTCAAGGTTTCTCTCTCACAACTGGATATCAGATCATAAATATTAAACCTTTTGAGTATTTGCAATTTGAAATCAGTGCTGCCAGGATGGTCTTCCCAGCAGATCTGGGAATGTAGAAAACATTCTTAACATTCCTCACACCACAGGAAAATCTGGCCAGATAACCTTTAGAATCATCACAAAACTGGGGCTCAGCTGACAAATGTCAGGAAGGGAGAATTAGGCCCAAAATCAACTTGATTCTCATGTAGTGTGAACCCATGACTGGTGCAAACCAAGATGACTGGATTAGTTTAAAGAAATACAAACACAGAGCACTTTTTCCCTTAGTGCAGAATTATGGTGGATTCAGCCAGATCTTTCTGCAGCACTGGTACAGCGCGAGACGACCTGGCTTTGCGGGACTAACAGGTTACTGACCCTGTTTGGGCAGAGCCTCGGCGAGTCTCCTGAGGCTCGTCAGGCTGTCGGCTCCCAGCTGGTTCAGGATGCCTGGCAGCATCTCGGTCAGCTGCTTGGTCTCAGCGTGGCCAGTGATG